TTTAAGAGCTATAAGCCTCACTCCAGAGACTTTAGGCAGAATCCAAAACTGAAACATAATAAAGATCATCAAAATAAAAGTAACTGACGATAATCTTGTTACACAGTTCTTCCTCTACCTGCTTAATCAAGCCAGGTCTTAACTAGTGATTTATTTAGTTATTATTTAACTGAGAAATCTATTGATTTGTTGGGTGAAGTCCAGTCAATGCGTTTTAAAAAGTAAACTATGCTCCACAACCCAGGAGTGAATATTTTCTGCAGATGATAGTTGTCTGAGGAACTTACCGGACGCGGGAAGAAATTGCATTCTACAGTCACAAATTTCCGATTTTCTATCTGACTGTTTACCACAGAGCCTTGACATAGGCCTGTCTCCTAGAGCAAAAGAGAAACTTTTCATCAACAAAAACCAAAAAGTTTAACCTGTCCAGATTTCTAATATGCAGTGAGACAGCAGGAGATATGGTTCTTCAGATGTTCTGTATCAAAGGGCCATCTCCATTCCTCCCTACAGTTGGTATGCTATTTCTCCTCCTCAAAATAATGGTTTCTTGTGCTATGCTTGTTAGAAACTTAAATTCTTCCTCAGCCATTTCTTTTGCTGTAGAATCTGGGGTAGGTGCCCAGTATAGAGCAATTGTTGCATCTGGGGTAGATGCCCATGTGATGCAATTGTTAAAGAGTTATAAAACTGATATATAAGTTTGAAGAAAATAGATTTTCTTCCTTTTCATATTGAGGAATATTCCTATTTCCTTCTCCTGTGATGCTTTTTATCAGTTTTGTTTATTTTTATTTTATTTATTTATCCAGTTTCAGCACCACCCAACTCCAGGCCGACCCTGGGTGGCTCGCAGTATAAGAAAACAAGATTAAGAAAATAAAATATATAGTAAAGAGGAACAAGATGGGGAACCAAACCAAACAACATGGAATATACACACACACGCATACACACACATATATGTATACATACACACACACGTGCACCTACACAGACACACACATAAGTATATACACATGCACATATACACACAAACCCCACAAACAGACAAACCCACAGCAAATAAGGGGCTCCATGTACCCTAGCCCAAGGCCTGATCCCTAGCTCAAGGGAACAGCCAGGTCTTTAATGCCTTCCAGAACGCCATCAAGGTGGGAGTCACACAGATGTTGGGGGAATCTCATTCCAGAAGGCAGGCATCACAATAGAGAAGATGTGCTTTCTTGGTCCCAGTTGTGGACTCTGTTTAATTGAAGATACCTGGAATGTGCCCATTCTGTTAGCTCATACCGACCAGGCGGAAACCATGGGAGATAGATGGTCCCTCAAATAACCTGGTCGTATAACAAGGCAAGGCCATTACTACCCACACCGCTGCATTCTGAATCAGTTGAAGCTTCTAAGTGGACTTCAAGAGCAGTTCCATATACAGTGCATTGAAATAATCAAGCTATGAGGTGACAAGGTTATGAATGACTGTTTAGAAGGCTGCCCAGTTCAGGAAGGGATGCAACCAGAACCCTAGATGGAACTGTGCAAAAGCCCTCTTGGCCATGGCTGCTACCTTCTCTTTGAGCAGCATCTGTGAGTCCAAAGGGGCTCCTAGATATCACACCATTCTTGAAGTACAGCCCCATTGAAGAGTAAAGATGGAAGATCTCCAGTGCTATGCAGTCCCAACAACCACAGCCACTCAGTCTTGATAGGACTGAGTTGGAGTCAGTTTCTTTCTATCCAGGCCTGCATAGCCTCCAGGCACTTCAGCAGCTTTGCTTGGCTGGCCTGGGGTTGAAAGGTATAATTGGGTATCATCAGCATACTGTACTGATGATACTGGACCACAAACTGACTGATGATCTCACCCAGCAATTTCAAGTAGAAGTTGAACAAGAGTGTTCTAACAAGGCAGCTTCCATCTACTTATGTGCAAAACTGGAAACAATGTTCTAGGGAACACCAAAATATTCTGTTTTTCCTCCAGACTGCAGTGAACCAACCATTCTATTGATATTTTGATAGTTTTCTGGAAGTAGATCTTCCAGAATAGGAAATGCTTTTTGGTGTTCCAGATGTGAATTTCATTATTTTAATGATTATATTCCTATTGTTATGTACTTTCTGATGGTTGGAGAATTCTCCTGCAAAATTTTGGAAACTGATAATTAACCTTATGGTTCATAGATTGGATTGGAAAATAAAAAAATACTAAGTTTGAATTCAGATGCAAACTAAGAGGAACAGCCTTCTTCCTAGTGCTCCACCATTAAAGGATGGAACAGCCAATTTTCTGGGATGATGAGAGGATTCCTGCTCTGGGCTGGGTTTGGATCAGAAGACCTCCAAAGTCCATTCCAATCCTATGATTTTATGCTTCCTGTCCATCTGCAGAAGGTGGACATGTAGAATATGTCATCTGGTTAAATGATAAAAGCATGGTCTGAAAGTAGCTTTAGATGTTAGCTTCTTCTGCTGCTTCGGTGTGGAATCATTAGTATTTCTTCCGTTTGTTTTCAGATAGATTTATTGTAGCTAATATTAGTACCCCCCTTCATGGATCACTGCCTTGTCATGGCGAAGGGGCTTGCGTAACTCAGTGAAGCCA